CAGCCCCACCCTCCGCCGACCCGTCCACAACCAGCCAGCTGAGCTCCCTGCCCCTGTCAGGAAACCACCAACACAAACCCATTTCCTGAGGGCAGAAGCCAAAACCCACTGTTGGGGGTGGTGTTTACCAATAAGGCTGTACCGTGTGGTATAAGGCTACAGCTTGGGATTGAGTCACAGCAGAACATTTGGTGTATGCCAAACATTATGGCTGGCACATTGGGAAACCACTTGGGAAACGCTGGGTTACAAATGAGACCATTCAAGATCACACACACACAAAAAAAAAAAAAAAAAAAAAAAAAAAACACACGTAGCTTTCTGTAACAGTAAAAAAACAAAAAGGATTTTACAGTCTCACAGGAGAAAAGACGCTGGCAAACAGACACCATGCATCTGCTTTATCTCTATCCAACCACAGCAATCTCAGCTAAAATTAGTAATGTTCATGCTTTTATTTACTTGCAAAACCCCATTACCCCTGTGGCACTGTGGGCAAAAATGCATTTTATACACATTAGCGTGGTTGCAAATAAGATAAGGCACCACTCCTGAGAGGGAATATGTGACTGTGTGAGAGCAAACTTGCTTTGAATGTTATTAAGATATTCATCAATCAGAAACAAGGGACAAGCATCTGAGACGGGTGCGTCCGTTTGTTAAGTGGTAGAAGCACTGATGTGAAACAGCAAAGGACATGTTTGAGAGAAACAAATTCATGACTGCAGGGGCTGAAAACCTGTGTTGTCACTCTCAGGGATGGGACAACATAAATAACTGATACAACAATATCCTATGGCCAATTTTCTTGCAACGCATTACCAAGTCATTAATGTTGCAATAGGTTATTAATACACTGTAGTAAATGATTGTTTTTCTTCTTTAAGGGCATGCTCCATACCTAGTCAATCACACACCTAGTCAGTTCTCCTGCACGACCCTCAATCATCTCTCCTTGTTAGCACCAGGATGTGCCAACGTGTGTTTTTCCTTGATTCCTCATCAAGGCCGCTTTCTCACCAGGGACTATTAAAATCAGGGTCCTGAAGGGAGATTATTTTGACAAGTGGAAAGCATTAGGGCAAATCTTTTTCCACATTCAGCCACAGGACTGCTAGGACTGATACTGATGGGTATGCTTAGGGCCTTATGATTTCTGCGATGCAGAATTTGATATTAAAAACAGAATCAAATGTAAAACGCGGAATATCGTAGAATCTGCCAAAATGTGGAAGTAATTTATAAAAAAAAATATTTTTATTTTCCTTAGCCTTATAAGCGTTTTTTCCACAGCTCTTTAGCCAAATGTAAAACACAAAATTCAGAAGAATTATAAGAAAACTTTGGAGGGAAGATTTCATAGGGCCCTGTTTGCTGCTAACACCTACCCTCTAGCCACCGATCTATGGACACATATTCATCAAGGTTCCCAGAATAAATCTTGCAAAGTGCTCTGAAAGTGACTAAAAACAGAGCTCCTTATGAGCAGGAGGTGAGAGTACATAATGAAGGTCTAATGCCCACTTTATGCCACCATTAATCAAAATGTCTTGTAATCATAAATCTGTGGAGGGAATTACAGGCTGGTCTTGAGGCAAGAAAAAAACCCATAAACATAAAATGCTCACACCACAGTTTGATCTAACACTGTATATGATGAGTTAGCCAGAACGTCTTGTTTATGTGCATGTATTAAATGAGAAGGTGACTTGGTGGCAGCTATCGTTTAGGCAATTGCATTGGGGGATGGGGGTGGATCACTGCTGTTGGAGAGGTATTTTCTTGTTGAAGAGTAAATTGCAAGAATTTAAATCAATACATCCTAGATGTTTAATGAAGAAGGTTTTTTTTTTTAAAGATCAGCATTTATATTTCCATGTCTTTCAGAAAGTATGAGCATGCTGCCCGCATCATTTGCCACCTGCACATAACTACTAAAGGAACTGCAGCTCTCCTAAATCCTGGTGGAGATATCATGACTCTCCTTAAAAACTATTTCCCTCTGTGATCAGCTGTCGAAAGGCAGGTCCTTAGGTACTACTGCTGTGTTCATTACTGTAATCCCAATTTAAGAGCCCGTATTAAGATAATTGCAACATTTACATGACAGCGCAATCTTTCTTCACCCACACAAAAGGGTGGGAAATTGCCATTTCTGTTAAGCTGGATTTATCCTCTCTGCTTGAACTACCTTCATTATAGAGAGAGTAAAGCAGAACCCAGAGGACTTTTAAATTCTGTAAGCAGTTGTACAAAGCACACATATATGTACGACTAATTGGGGGTGCTTCTTGTTGATTGAAAACTGCGGTCCCACATGTTTTATCTACTTGTTTAACAGTCACATCCTGCAGGTGTTTCAGGTTATTGGGATATTCCTTTGAGCCTTAAAGCTGCATTGTGTAGAAGAGAGAGGGAGGAAAGCTGACTTCTGTGACTTGTGTTTACTGACACCCACCAGTACTGTCCTCCCTACCACCACCACCACCGCTGCTGCTGCTCCCTCCCTGGGGTAAACATAACAGAGATAGTCGATTCCACACTGACTTCACTTGGCTCAGACGCCTGAAGGTAGAGATGGACAAATGCACTTTGTTCAAAACTAAGGCGCTGTGCAAGCCGACACTCTCTGCCGGCTCTATTGACAGGATAAAACTGTTATTGTTGTCCTGTACTCTAAGCCTTGCTATATTGTCATTTGCACATAATACAGTTTCTTTTTTGTCTGTGAGTAGCATACACCCACATCCTCGTGCAAAAGCTGCACTCAAAAACTAAAATAACAACTTTAAACCCACAACACAAAAAGTAATTTGATCCACTCCAGTGGACAGGACTTGGCGTAAGGTACCTTATAATGGGAATCACACCGGGCCACAAGTGAAATTGTCCATACTTGTCTCTTAGGGTTTACAGTAATCATCAGCTAATCTGGCTCGTTTACAGAGCCCCGAGGAACAGAGCTGGTTTCCCCTTTGAGTTACCTGCCAACATAATGTGACTATCTCAAGTGGTGTGGAAATATGCAACCTAGGTGTTTTAAAAGATAATTCAAAGCCATAAAGCCATTCCCTTTGAAAACAACAAGATTGCGGGTCCTTAAATCTTGACCGATAAGGTTTGACGAAGATAACAGAAGCAGACTTGGAGCGAGACAGTGCTCATGCAGGACTCTATCTTTGCACAAACCAAACGGTTAAGGGCAGCTGTTTCAGACGGGACATTTGTCCCACAGCAGCTTGTCCATTGTCCATGAGGACAGGAGAAGCAGTGTGTGTCTGCATACATGCATGATAAATAGCGTCTGCACTTGAACTTGTCTAAGTGGTGCTTCAGGGCAATGAGGCTACCCGGGCACAAGTGCTGTTATTCATCTTTTTAGAGGACTTTTTAAAAGTTGCATTCCTCACTTCCCAGGGGAAGATAAACTGCTTAACACAGGAACCTAGGAGCCAGAGAAGTCTTTGGGTCTTTGGTCTTTAACCCCACATTTCCAGCAACACACACAAACAGATGCTGAAAATAAGACCCCTAATTGTCACAGAACTCACAATTGCCACTGGACGTCGTGGTTGCAAATACACAGCGGTGAGACACTAAACGCTGATTTGGAGGACAGAGAGTTGTCTTGTCTGTAAATAAATTGTGTCATTCCACTTGATAAGTGCTGGAGTTCCTTAAACATTGGAGGATGTTTCATAAAAATGTCCCCAAATTGGCTCATTTCCTAAATGCGCTGGCAGACAGGGTTTCAACTGTTGTCAGCCTTCTCCTGAGGAACCAGAGCTTAATTTACAAGAAATGTAATTTATGAACTTTGGCTAGCAACACAGAAACAGGAATTAGAGTAATACCTGACATAAATCTGACTGAATAAAGCAGAGGTTTATTTGTTATGACATGTTCGGGTGTATTTGTTTACTCGCCCTGAAGGGACAGTTTGTTCATTCTAACATTGGAAACATGAACACATTAGAATACACATGTCTAGTACTCATGTGTCAGAAACCATGAAAGATATCAAAACTGATTGACTGCAAACGATGATGAGCCGTGATTATATTTCTAAATTAATCCAACTTCCAGGCAGACTGACTTTAAATTAAGATACATTATTCTAGGAATTTGATAAATAAAGGAAATTGTTTCTGACACATAAGACATGACCATTTTAAGACACAGAGTTCTTGTTATTATCCACAATATGTCAACGTGCCCTTGAGCATGTTACCACCCCCAGATAAATAACTGTCCCACTAACAGAACACTCTGAGTGTGTCCGTCTTCTTGCAGTTGTCATTACACCTGTTAAACTGCTGTAAATACAAGTCAGCAAGTCTGATTAAACAAGTTTAAAAAAAAGAAAAGCATCATCACATAATGCTGAAATAGACAATGGATTCTATGATAAATACATCTGTATAAATCACCCATGGTCACTCAATTAAGAAACCATTTCGCCTGCTGTACTGTGCGTGAAAGATGGGGTGAAAACTGAATTCGTGAATTGCATAAACAACCCTAATCAAGTTACGACGTGATGTATGAGGACTATCTGAGCAAACAGTGCCGGTGGTTTGCTGCTCCATTAGTTTCCAGAGTGGGGTTCAGGGACCTCCGGGGGACTTTAATAGGGTAACAAGGGGGGTCCCTCAGCAAAAATCTGGAACAGATTGATTTTACTTTTAAAACTTACCCACTAAAGAAGTTACTGTTATGAAGAAGAATTTAACACAACTGCTCTGAAGGCTTGCTTCTCACTCCCTGTTACAGTTGACAGATAATTATGCAGCTCACAGCAGAACCACAACAATATTCTCAGACGGGATTCCTTGAGCGAAAACCGTATCAACAGGGGTATCTACACGCTATTTATCTGTGTCTGCGGCAAAGTTTGAAAGTTTCTATGTCACTGTGTACTTTTCTTTTCTTTACAAGCGCTATTACCCCGTTATGGACTGGTCAATAAATAGGCAAGGGCAACTAAGCGCTTTACTTACAAGGAAACAGTCCGGACGGGAAGGTCCAGAGGCGTAGCTGTCAGCTCCAGATTACTACAGTCCACAGAGTCTCCGTTGCAGGTACAGTTCTGGGCACATGGCAAGTCTGAACTCAATCCATAACTGATAAACAGTTCGACCGACAAAATAAGATAAAAAACACAACGAGAAACACATCCAAATCGTCCCAGGGACGCCGCCATTTTGTATCCAGTTTTATTAGCGCGGCCGCTGAGCTGTCTCCTCGTACCCACAAACTGGAATATTAATGTGGCTTCTGAGAGACTGAATGCCTTTTAGAGCATATTACTTGTCTTCTTGCAACACATAGGCTACTACGAAGAACTGTGGGGCAGTAAAACGTTTTCCATCCCGACAACAAGAAGTCATTGAGGACACAAGTTCCCAGTCCAACTTTCCTCTGGTGTCCGACGCGGGCTAAAAATCAAAAGGTGATTCACAGATTAACTAGCTGAAGTATGCTACAGCGAACTTCTAACTTATGTCGCCCTGAACTTGAATTTAAGTCGCAAGAGCGTGTTCATAAAAGGCTAAAAACTACTTAACGATACCATAACTGCTTCAGGTGACGTGTTTTGAAAACATGCAACAAGCAAAATGTTAATTAAAGGACAGTGCGCCCGAAGAGCTCTCAAAGTAACTGTTGATCAACGGAGCAGCAGCACAACTGTGTAAAACTTTGAAAAACGTTTACTCTGATACTTCTGACGGGGTTAGAAAATGTCCACCACAAAGTTGAAGATGTAGCAAATAAGTTAACGTTAAGACCCGCAGGAATAGTGCCGATAACTCCAGCGTTGCTCTTTCTCTCTCTCTCTCCCTCTCAAGCCGAGTGCCGCACGTCGTCCAGGTCTCGCCAGCACTTCACCGCTGCAGTCGAATAAATCCAACTTTGAAATACACACAGCCCTTTCCAGAAGAACTCAACAAACAGCTTGTCAGGTGCGGTCTGTGGTCACAAAATCTCGACGATCCGATTAATAGCAAAGTCCCACTCCTTTTGACCGTGTACCACCACCGTGAGTTTTTTCCTCTCTTGACTTACTTTTCCTTTTTTCCCCGGTGATCTCTCCGTAGTCCCACGTTGGATGCACAACAGCGATAACAGGGTCCTCCCATGGCTCGCTGCGATTGGCTGCTGCGGTTTGATGGGCGGGTCGAGCCCTAAGCTGATTGGTCGTTACGGGTTCTCCGTGCACCGCGGACATGGAGAGCATTTGAGCGGCTGTCAGTCAGCGGTTGCTGGCCCCGCCTATGTTTCCCACCCCGGGGTGTGAAACCGCACCACCTCCTCTCACTCTCACTGCTTCTTAAAGAGACAATCACTGGGATCAAGCTCTGTAATCGCATTATAACAAGCCATAATAACATAATTGCTTTGAATGCCACAACAATGCCATTTAAAGTGTTTGTTAGTAAGACTGAAATCAAGATTTACATGTAGGCCTAAAGGAAAAAGTCAGAGAGACAGTAACAGACAGCACGCTAGATGTTTCCTCCAATCTAAATACAGGAAGTTTAAAGTAGAAAGCGAGCAACTTGTGTCTTGGCCTGAGTCTAACACTCTTATTAATTTTTCCATCTATAACTATTGTATTAGTAGGTGTGCATCCACAAATTGATTTTAACCTCACTCATCAGCTCTGTAAACGATCAACTGTTGCATGTATTTACAGTCAGTCGGCCTACCTACATACTTTTAGGCTACTTTACTTGAATAAGTCCATTTTTGTTTCTTTATACATCTAATCTAACTACATAATGTATCACTATAGATTAAGCTACACATCAGAAAATAAAGGTGTGGCTAATTTTAATTACTTTATCAACTGCAACATAAAAGTGGTACTGTATGTACAATCATCTATCAATGATTATAATCCTATGATATAATATAGTAGACTCCCCGCACCCCACAATACAGTGAAACTGCACGTGTTTCACAGTGACCTTTTTATTGTGGCCAGTCTAAGAAACACCTGTGCAATACCCATGCTGTCTGATCAGCATCTTGATATGCCACACCTGTGAGGTTGATGGATTATCTCGGCAAAGGAGAAGCGCTCACTAACTAGATTTGTGAACAGTATTTGAGAGAAATAGGCCTTTTGTGTACATAGAGAAAGTCTTAGATCTTTGAGTTCAGCTCATGATGAATGGGTGCAAAAAACAAAAATGTTGCGTTTATTATTTTGTTCAGTGTATGGATTAAGTTCACTGTAGGTTAAGTTTGTAAGTTAAAGTGATATCTAGTGGTAAGGGTTGTGAATTGCCACAAGTTGCCACAAATTGCTCACTCACCGCACCCCCCCACCCAAGAAATTATATCTACTGAATTATTCAGCAAAACCATATGTTATTGCGAACATTATTTTTAATTGTTCATCAAACAACAGCAACATCAAAATCTTTATACAACACTGAAAACATAGTTATGGATCTTATATTGCATTTCTGTCAATAAATCCTCAGAAATATTACACGCTGAACCTTTGCATTATTCTGAAATGGACCGTTCTGCTTAATGAGTCTGAATCCACAACCTTTACTTGTAACAGAGTATTTATAAACTGTCATAACGCTACTTTTACTTAAGTGAATTATCGGAGTATATCCTTCACCACAGACTATTTATGACAATTAATTTAATGTGGCCACAAACTGTTCACTTTGCCACATTCTGAAGAATTTCCTTCCCGTGTTTTCTTAAGAAAATGTTAACAGATGGTTAGGTGTGTGTGTGTGTGCGCGCGCAGTGCATGTCAAAAAGGCTGTAACTGCTTTATATCTTCTCTTGATGTGAGCCTAAATTCACCTCAACAACTCAAAATGATCTGTCAAATCTGTCAAACTTCAAACAACTACAACTGGAAATGGAAAATACACAGATAAAGTACAGGTACCTCAAAATGTGCTTAAGTAAATGTTTTTAGTTACAATCTTCCCAGCAGTATTTGAAGTAAGTGACACCATGTTTACCAAATACGCATTTCATTGATAATTATATTCCAGTAATGTGCTCAGGCACATGATTGTGTGCTAACTAAGTGTGCATACTTACGTGTGCAGACACACCCATGCACGTGTGTCTGTGGGTTTTGTGCATCCAGACTGATCGTTTCACCATCTGAGCGTGCCCTGTAATGGCCACATGATAGCACAAAATCCTTACCAAATGTTGAAGTCATGTTCGCCCGCTGTCTCAAAAATGCACATCTGTGATAAATCAGTGGTCCTGTCAGCCTCCTGGCCCCATGAACACTTTTTTCTCATCACATTTTGTTCCTGGCACTGACAGGTCATATTGATTGACTTGGACAGAGCTATTGTGATCGTTTTGCGTTCGTAGATGTCCCAGATTTCATTGCTATTAATCACGGTAGCGAGGACTGAGATATTCACACCTGCATCACTGCAGGCAGTTTAGTGGCATAGTTCCTTTTCCAGTTAACAGTCGAAGGTTTCACGTTGCATCGTGAGTGTGTGAGTGAGCACAGTAGCCTACAGGTGAGGCCTCCAGCTCTCAAAAGCAAGGAAAATATCTGAGAAATGAGACCCTGTTAAAACATGACTTCACTGAGGATGGAAAACTGAGTAATGGAGGATAGCCATTTTCTATAGTTTGTCCTGAAATCATATTACTTTGAGACTTGGGAATTGTTTGGAGCTGTAAAATGATTTGAAAAGAATACCCTTTTAAAGGTTCTAGGAAATTCAAAAAAACATTCATAATAGCAAAGTATAACTTCAAAAATCAAAAGTCTATCAATCAAATGGCAATAAATTGTGTATCATTATGTTTGTTTTAAAAACATAAAACGCTTCTTACTGCTTGTAATAGAGCATGGTTTGACTGATTGTTATTTGTTTTATTTAAGCCCTGAGATTTCATACAATATAAATATCCGGTAAGTTAAGCTGCTGTTTATTTAACAGGCATATTTCTGTGCAGTATGTGGTGTAATGCAATATTAAATCACATTTTTTGTGTTTCTTCCAGCATACCATCTACCAAATTTACATCTATTAAGAAAATGATATATTCAATTACCAAGTTTTATACATAGTTTTGGATTCCTTGAATTGCCATTTCATTTTCACTTTCAGGCTCTTTCTTTAATTTATTCATTTAACCTTTATTTAACCAGGAAAGTCCCATTAAGAATCTCATTTTTAAACGGACAGCTTCTGTGTCCTGTACATATCTTCAGTACAAGTTACAAGTGACAGGAGGTCGACAATTACAGCAATCACGAGAATGTTCAACCCTGTGTTTTGATGTTCCTTCAACAGAAAGGGTATGTGGACCAGGTACTTTGGGGGTTTATTTTGAGAGGACTGTTGACATGTCTTTTAATGTGATTTATTTGGTGGATGACCTGCTCTGGATGACTTGGCACACAAATAACTTTACTAATGCAGCTGGCAAATTCCAGGTTAAATTTTCACCAATATGCCAAGCTCATGGTTAAAGGGTCAAAATGTGTGCGCATTTTGGTGGAAGTTTGTAGCTTGTTGTCTTTGTAAATTTAGCCTAATTAACCATTAAACCAGTTTCCTCTAGCAACATTTGATTAATAAACTGTTATCTATAATATATATAATAACTAATATGTTTTGTTTTGAAAGTGAACATTTCTTCCCACTGTCACTATGACCAAATGTTGTAGTGCAATTTATCTGATGAAGTCTTACTGATTTTCTTTTTGATTGATTTTTAATTCAATGATGATTTCAAGTTTTAAAAAGTTTTACTGACCATTCACATTTTTATTCGATCACTGTATACATAGCACTGAGCAGTGCAAAGTGAGCTAAGTCTTTTAGATAGTTTCTTTCCTTGAGGACCCAAACAGTGACAGGGATATTATTATATATATATATAATTATTATCTATGGATTGATTTATAATTGGAGGAACAGAGAGCCCTTCAAACAATTCACATTGTAAGGAAAGCATTAACAGGGTTTGCTACCATAACTGCTCTGCTCTTCATACTCACCCTGCACCCATTCTCCTGTGCACCACTGTGTGAAGTTGTGACTGATGAGAAGAGTGGACGTGAGTCTGTCATGAGAGTGCATTGTAAAGAGGATAATGACTGCACCAGATGACCCCTTCTCTTTCTTTCTTTTTTTTGTGTAGATGTTTTTAACACTGGCCATATTGGTGTTTTCACAG